ATGGGGTCGGGCTGGAGCAAAGGCCTGGGGGCCACAGGGGGCGCAGCCTCAGAGCCTGCTGTCCCTTTTAGGGGAGCAGTGGAGCTGCTCCTGGGAGGACAGCTAATTGAGGCAGTGGCCTTGTCCTTGGAAAGTGAGCTTTTGTCCAGCCTGGGCCCTCTTGGGGGCACTCACTGGGCAGAGCTCTGGCCTGGGCTGTCCCAGCACCCTCCTACCCCGTCTCCCCCTGGTGCTATAGAAACAGGGCCTCTTGGGAGGCGGCTGCTCCCTCCCTCCCAGAATCAGGGAGGAGGCAGCTCCAGTCCCTTTCAGCTCAGAAGGCAGGGGGATTGGGTTTCGGGGTTCCCAGGAGCAGTCGCCCTGCCCACCTCCCTGGAGGGCAAATGTCCACTCAGCCACTGGGCTGCTGGGACAGGTGGACAACGGGGTGGGGGGTCCCTCCCTCTCTTCTTCCTCCCCTCTGCCCTGCTGGCCTTGGGGCTGAGCGCTCACCTTCCAGCTCCCTTTCCAGAGGAGGTGGCAGCTAGGAGACCAGGAGTCACCATGACAACAAAGCTCCTAAGCAAGCCAGAGCCCCTAGCTCCCCGTCATCTGTGCCCAGGCAATTGGGGGCCATCATTTCTCAACCACTGTGAACGTTCTGAAGGTCAAGACCCGCCACCCCCGACCCCCCGCTCAGTAGGAGGTGTGCAGTGGGTAAATGAGTACATTGGTGGATGGATAGGTGGGTGGCTAGAGATGGGAGGAAGGAAAGAAGTGGTGCACACATGAATAATACATGGATAGGCAGATGCCGGGGAAGGACAGAAGGAAGGTAAGGAGATGGGCGGGTGTGGAAGTGAGTGGATGGCTGAACAAGGGTAGCCAATGGCTATGTGGGTAGATGCATGATGTTCAAAAGAGATGCATCCTAGCTAGGTGTCACCGGGCTATGTGGATGGATGGATGGGTGGATGGATGGAGACGGACTGGCAGCTGTGAAAGGAGACAAGATGGGAAACAACACCAAATCCTTGATTCTGCTGCAGGGTCTTTCTGGGGAACCAGGAAGGCTCCCTTCCCTAAGGCAAGTGGTAGATCTAGGACAGTGGTTCTCAACCTTCCTAATGCCGCGCCCCTTTAATACAGTTCCTCATGTTGTGGTGACCCCCAATCATAAAATTATTTTCGTTGCTATTTCATCACTGTCATGTTGCTACTGTCCTGCGATCTGACAGCTTGCTGCAACTAAAACCCCTGAGCCCAAGGGAAGAAAGAGCCTGGTCTCCAACCATTAAATGCCTGCAGTGCCCCAATCATTGCCACTAACAAAGACAGATGTCGCGGCCTGGGGGGCATGGGTCTGGCAGTTGCTAAATGCCCAGAATGCTGCCACCACTGCCATTCTCCACCTACTGGAATCGCCGTGCCTGCCGGGTCTCTCTGCCGCTTCCCCTTGAGGAACAGTCTATAGGCCAAGGAAGGCAGCTATGCCCACGGGCCCTGCCCTGCCGGGTTGCTGGTGCTTTGCTTGTCCAGCTCTGGCTCCCTCTCCCCTTGGCCTGTGCGCTCCTGCCCCCTGGTGGGAACCAGGACAACTGCAGCGCACAGGGCGGGGCGGGGTGGATGGAGGCTTTTCCTGCAACCAGAGGCGTGTGTGTGTGTGTGTGTGTGTGTGTGTGTGTGTGTGTGTGTATGTGTGTGTGTGTGTGTGTGTGTACGTGTGTACACACGTACTCACGCTCTCACACTTCTCTTGGCCTAAAAGATTAGAGATGGATGGAAAACTCTGAAAGGCCCGTAGCAGCTCCTCCAATGGAAGGGGTTATTATTATAATTACTGTGATTACTGTTATCAGGAGGATCATGCTTGCCTGGCGTCCTGTACAAAGCAGGCCCGTTTCCTTCAGCCTGTTGTTTGTGTCTGAGGGACTTCATCTTTGCGCATAATAACTAACATTTGCAGGGCTCTTTGTGTTGCAAAGCTGTGTCCCATCCTTAGCCTGTCTCCACGGCACAGACAACCCGGGGAGGTGGGAACGAACGAGAGCAGAGGCCCAGAGAGGTTAAGTGTCCTGTCCAAGGTCGCGCAGCTAAAAGGCGGCAGAGCCGGGATTTGAACCCGGGTCACCTGCGTGAACATTCCCATTCACTTCCCCACGTTTTTGACATCTCATCTCTCGGGAGGGCCAAGGCCCTTTATTAAACATTCGCCCTTTGCTGCTGATGTTTATTGAAAAGTCCGTGTTGCCCTGAAAAGAAGGGAAGTGGTTGAAGACCTGAGTGTTAAAGGTGACGTTAGGCATCCCAGTCTAGACGATGCGTACACCTGGGCACCTCCAAGTCCCGGGCAGTGAATGGCAAGCGTGTGGCCCTCATGGCTAGTGGGCATCCCCTGGTCACCACTTGCCCCATCCACTTCCCTGTGTGACCACGTCTCTGGGAAGGGCGGGCAGGTCACACACGGAGGGACAAACATAGGAGTGAGTCCAAGGTGGCTGGGTGGAGGCGATTATAGAGCACACCCTCTCTGTAGCCCCCCTGCGAGGTGTCACAAGGCTCTGGGTGCTCAGACGGGAGTGTGTCCCTCACCCAGCAGGAAGTCGCCTGCCCTGCCCACCCTCAGGCCCTGAGTCCCTTCTCACAGACCGGGCAGAAACACAGACCGGGCAGAAACGGTGGCAGGCCCGAAGGAGGAAGCCCCCCCCCCTCTGGCCGGGTCCACCGGGTTCGTTCCACACTGCACAGACGGGCAGGCACGCTGAGAGCTGGGAGAGGACTGAGACTTCCCCAAGTCAACCGGCCGCCTGGGAGCAGCAGCAACATGTGGGCCCCTAACTCTTAGGCCTCGGCACTGGTTTTAGCCCCAGAGGGAGGCACCCCCGCCCCGTCACCCCCCCCCCCCCCCCCCGCCTCCCCGAGCCTCTGCCTGCCTAGGACACCCAGGGCCCAGGCCCCAGGGGCAGGCTGTCCAGGTGGATGCCCCGGGGACGCTCAGATGCTGAAGAAACTCATCTCCAACCTGGGAACCTGGGAGGCCAGGAGGCCAGGAGGCCAGCGGAGGGTGGCCCAGGGATGGGGGGGCGCTGGGGGCTGGGGGCCTGGCTCTGGGCTAGCATTGTGGGCCTGGCCTGCCGGCCTCCAGGCCAGCAGCAGCTTCCTTCCCAGGGCAAGTGTACAGAGGGGACCCAGCTGCCAGGACTTCCTCACTGACCTTCGGCAGCAGACAGAAGGCATGGAAAGAGCTTTTGATTCTGGAAGTCTCCCCAGAAGACTTCAGTCCACATGCCTTTTGCACAGAATCTTTTGTGGGCCACACATCTCCCAGGTGCTGACCTCGTTTCCTCTGTGTCTCTCCCTCCCCAGAGGACACGTGCGAATTGCCAGCCCCTCCCACTCTCTTCCTGAGCCACGGGCCACCGGCCGGGGAGTCTGGCTCTCCTCTGGCACCATCGGAAGGCAGGGGGTTTGAAAGGCCTTGAGAGTAGAGTCATCGTCTAGTAGTAACTGTTGTGCCCATGAATTAGACCCGGATTCGGGGGGGCCCATGAGGTTAGGGCCTAGTGCACTCCACTCCCAGCCACCTCCGGGGGCTCTGTCTCACCATGCCCTCCAGCCATGAGGCAGGCAGCAGGCTCCCTGCTTTGGGGTCCGGAGAGTGCTCTGAGCGCAGTCCCGTCACCCAGAGAAATGTGTGCAGACTCGGTGGACAGGGCCTGGGCTCAGTGGCCACCTTGTCAGGCTTTGGGTTTCTCGAGGAGCCGGCCCCCAGACAAGGCGTTTATTTCAAAGGTCATTTCCGGAGGCTCTAGGGAGCATGGATCTTTCTGGTAATGCGGGTCACCCTGAGTGTGGATTCCTCCACCTGGCATCGTTTGCCGTCCGAGGTGCTGTAGTCGGTGGCGACCCCCAGCATCTGTGGGTCTGATCACAGAGGCCAGCCTTGGAGTCAGGCTCCTGGTCTGAGTCCCAGCTCTGCACTGACCACCTATGGGCACGGTCACGGTTCGATTCCCGGTCAGGGCACAGGCCCGGATTATAGGCTGGACCCCCAGTGTGGGGCGTGCAGGAGGCAGCTGATCAGTGATTCTCTCTCATCATTGATATTTCTATCCCTCCCTCTCCCTTCCTCTCTGAAATCAATAAAAATATTTTTTTTCCAAAAAGTAGAAAATTGTTAGCCAAAAACATTGACATTTACCCCCAAAAAAACTTTGCAAAATGCCAGTCTTCAAAATGAATGAAAGCGGGGCTGCTTGGGGGTATTGGAAGGTGTAGAATAGAGCCCTGCCCACTCCCTCCTGCCCACAGAAGCCCCAGAGCTGTGCCAGCTCTGGGAGTCCCCGAAGGCTGGCACAGTGACACTGGTCCCCGAGGGCCTAGGAAAGCAGACTGCGCCCATATCCGGAGGCATGGGGTGGGGGGTGTGGGCGGGGGGGCGGGGGGGATGTTCAGATAAGTGGCCTGCTTCTCCTGACCAGGCCTGGGGCTGATCATTGTCCCGGTGCCCTGGCAGGGGCCTGGCCAGACTTCCTGTCCCCACCGAGCCTCACAGCCCCACCCGTCTCCTCGCAGGCCGACGCCAAGATGGTGTGCGACGTGGTGAGTCGGATGGAGGACACCGAGCCCTTCTCTCCGGAGCTGCTGTCCGCCATGGTGCGCCTCTGGGGCGACTCGGGGATCCAGGAGTGCTTCAGCCGCTCTCGGGAGTATCAGCTCAACGACTCTGCCAAATAGTGAGTGACCCGGGCGGGAGGGCGGCCGCCGGTGGGGCAGGGACCGCGTGGAGGGCAGGGCTTGGGTGGAGCTGAGGTCAGAGCCGCTGGGACAGCCAGCAGAGCCCAGGGCCGGTGCCGCAGAAGCTCAGCCCCTCCACGTGCCCCCAGAACCCACGTCATCCCCGCCCCAGACACTTGGGGATCCTCCCCCGTGGGCTGTGTGTGGCTCCTGCCCCCAGGCACCAGGAGTGGATGCCTGGCTGGCCCTGGGGGAGCCCAATCCTGATTTCCCAGATCCCATCCTGGCTTTGGGTTCAAACCTAACCCCTACAGACCCCAAAGCCTTCCAGGTGCTCGGCCTGGGCGGGTGGGGTGCAAAGGCCTGGCCCGTCTCCAGAAGTGGGGGGCATGATGCGGAAGACCTGGTCCCAGGCAGGCCAGCCACTGCCCCCTCTGTGACCTATGACCCTCCCTTCCCACGGACGCCTGGGTAAACTCGCAGCAGGTATAGCAGGGCGGGCAGATGCTCGGGGCCTCTTGGAAACACTATAGAGACTCGAGTGTGGACTCGGGGGCCAGATGTCCAGGTTCAAGGCCCAGCTCCCGGCCGGGCAAGGTGCTGACCTTCATTGACCCCCAGCTCTGTAGCCTGTAGAAGAGTGCATGTAGCTTGGAAATGAAAGGTGCCGCCTGGTCACACGTGAAGAACAGAGGCCAGGTGTTGGCCGTTATCGTTTGTCACGAAGCAACGACAGAGCAGCATGATAAGCCCGTTAGCCTCCTTGGAGAGTCCGGTCTCGTCTGAGCGCCCTGGAGCCGTGCACAGAGGCCCTCGTGGTCTGAATTAGCGGCTCTGCGAGGATGTGCGCCCACCGTCCCACCCCCACCCCTGGCCCTGGACAAGGTGGTGCCATCATTCCCTCCGTGGCCTTCGAGGGGCCCTGGGGGGGACTGGGTTCTAAAGAGGGTGGCACAGCGAGCCCCGAGCTATGCCGACAGCCTGCCCCCCGGTCCCCTGTGTGTTGCCGTCCCCAGCTACCTGGACAGCCTGGATCGGATCGGGGCCAGCGACTACCAGCCCACTGAGCAGGACATCCTCCGAACCAGGGTCAAAACCACCGGCATCGTAGAAACCCACTTCACGTTCAAGAACCTTCACTTCAGGTGAAGCCCGGGGGAATTGCGAGCCCCAACCAGGGCGCCGGGCCATGGGCAGTGCCAACCCCTCAGCCTCAGCCCCAGAGAGAGGCCTGCCTCTGGAGCTCTCGCGTGGGGACAGGCAGGTAGCTAGGAGAAGGGACCTGTCTGTAGGTCTGTTTCCCACCAAGGTCAGGGCGGGGTCAGCAGGAGGGCTTCCTGGAAGAGGCGTCCTGGAGTGGGGCTCTGAGGCACGGGGAGGGAAGCCCGTCCCTGGTGACCTCTGGCGGGGATGGAGAAGGTGGATCACCTTCCAGGACACCTTGTGGAGAGGGGTGGGGGCTGAGCCATGGGTAAGCCTAAACAATAGCCGTGAGACCCCCAAGGACCCACGTAATCTCAGCTGGAGGGGCTTAGGGGTCCACTGACCCACCTCCCAGCACATCTGGGGAAACTGAGGCCTGGGAGGAGCAAGGCTCTCCCCAAGAGCAGAACACAGCGGCTCTGAGCGCCTCAGCACGGGAGCCCGAGGTGTGCGGCTGGACTTCTCAGGCACTGGCGGGAGGTGGCATGGCCACCTGGGGTGACCTCGCACACTGAGGCCTGGGAGCCCCCGTCCTGCCCCCACATGCCTATAGGTCTGATTCCTGGGTGTCGGGTGGAGCAGGTGAGACACAGGTAGAAGCCTGTGTCCTGGCCAGGTGAGGCCCTGGAGACGCAAGGGCAGGTGTTGGACTCCCTGCGTGCAAGCACAGCCCGGGGGTGGGACAGACGCAGTGAAGGCCGCCCCACCCCCTGAACGGCTGTGTCAGTCTTTGAGCACCGGGAGCGGGGCTCCTGGGGCTGCTCGGGGCAGGTGCCAGCCCCTCCTCCTCCTCCAGCCCCGGAGCTTGACCGGGGACCCCCTTCCACCCGCCTGGACCCCACCGTCCACCACCCCAGCTTCCCTGTCTCCCCGCAGGCTGTTTGACGTCGGGGGCCAACGGTCTGAACGCAAGAAGTGGATCCACTGCTTCGAGGACGTCACGGCCATCATCTTCTGTGTCGCGCTCAGCGGCTATGACCAGGTGCTCCACGAAGACGAGACCACGGTGAGTGGCCTGTGCCCGCCAGGTGTGAGCACAATGGGGCAAGACCATAATGAGTGGCCTGTGCCCACCAGGCGTGGGCGCTATGAGGCGAGACCACGGTGGTGGTCCACGCAGCTCCATAGTGGCTGAGGTTCCCGTGGTTGGGGGAATGTCTGGTGAGGCCGTTACAGAGCAGCTTGGGCGGGGGCCATGGGCGTCTGCTCACGGACACCTCCCCCCGCCGCCCCCCGACTCTGGGTCTCAGGCAGTGAATGCCTCTCCGGTAAACAGGGCAGAGTCTGAGGGCAGCAGGCCAGGCCCAGAGCAAGCCAGTCCTAGAAGAATCGGGGGGGTGGGGGGGCGGGTGTCCGGCAAGAATGTGCGTGAGACGGAAACAGCGGTTCTTAGGCCTGACAGCCGTCCCTGAGGTTGGCTGGGCTGCTGCCCGGAGAGGCCTGCGGGGTGGGCGGCAGGCAGGGAGGAGGGCAGGGCGGCGGGCACCTCCGGAGGAGACCAGCCCAGGTTCCTGCCTCTGATGTGCGTCGTGTCCCATCTGGGGCCTCAGAGTGGCCATCTGGCCTCAGCGGGGATCACTCCGCTGGCGAGGGTGCTGCGTCGCTCTGGTCCTAGTCCTGGTTTGCTGCCGAATGCAGGCAGCACCCTCTCCGCCTCGGGTACTGTTACCTGCCAAAGTGGGGGGGACGGGGAGACCCTACCTGTGGGGTCACTGGCGATAGACTAGAGCGTCCAGGTGAAAGTTCCTGGCACGGCCGTGCCAAGTTGGTGGTTGTTCTGACCTGGGGGTCCACTGAGAGTCCCCGTCTGGACTCCGGCCCACAGGGCTGGGGGCCTGCTCGCACAGCCTGCCAGGGAAGCCGGGTGCTGGTGTGGTCCACCCCCGAGGGTGCCGAGACAAGCCCACAGCACCTCCTAGGAGTGGGGCTCCTGGGCTGTGGGGTCACGCCCATGGCATTGGTCAGCACCTCTGTCTGTTGCACGCACATGCCCTAAGCCCCGAGCCTCTCGGGCAACCCTGAGGTTGGAGGGAGGCCTGCGTCGTGGGGGGGCCTGTCCTCTCTGGGTCAGTTTCCTCATCAGTCCTGCCTGCTGGTCCCCCGGCGGCGGTGAAGGTCTGACGGGCCGCGGGGTGGGGGCTGCGGGGTGCAGTGCTATGGGGGAAGCAGCCGCCGTCCTAGGGACCAACACACCATGGGGCTTTTGGCAGATGGGGGCCGAAGCCGCTGCCCGGGTGGGTGGCCCGGACTCGCACCATAGGCTGGCGTGTCCACCGTGCCCTTCCTCCTTCAGGCCCAGCTGCACCCCTGAGTTGGGGTTCAGCAAAGCCCCCCAGCCCTGCCTTGTCCTGGGGGAGGCGTCTGGGGCCTCAGCCGTGCAGCTCTTTCTGGTGGCGCCGTCTCCATGAGTGACCGCGGCAGGTTGTGGCATCTCCGGCGGGGGGCGCGGGGGGGAGCGCGGGGGAGAGATGTGCACCCCGTGTTGTGTTTGGACCCGACTCTCTGGCCGCACCACAGCCCATGGGGGCTCCTGGCTGCCCTCTCGATGCCTGTGCGCACGGGGCTGCCCCGGCCCCTGTGTCACTGTCCCCTTGGTCCGCTGTGCTGTCCAAGCCGCTGATCATGGCCTGAGTGGCCACCCCTGTGGTCTGAGCTCCATCCACTCAGCTCACCTCTCCCTGCGGCGCTGGGAGTGGGAAGCAGGGCCATGTGTTTCCAAGAAAGTGAAGGGCTGGAGAGTGGGTGGGGGGACGGCTTTTCTCCCTGAACGGGCCTCTCCCCCTAGGACCTGCCGGCCAGGCCTGTGGACAGCTCCAACCCCAGTCCCAGGCCGCGGGTCACGGGCAGGGCTCTCCCGCGCCTCTGCAGCAGGGCAGGCGCAGAGGGAAGTCTGGGTGGGTCTGGCAGCCACGGGGCGGAAGCTCCATGGCCCTCCGGTCCCTGTGAACCATGGGGCTGGGCAGATGCCAGGCCCGAGCTCGGGCAGCCTTTCCCGTCTGCCTGCCCTGTCCGGCCTGGCCAGCTGTCTGCAAACTCCTTCACCAGCCCTTGCTGCTGAGCTGGGCAGTGTCCTGGGCGCTTTCCTTCCATGCTCCTCCTCCTTCCTGCCTTTCCTGTCCCTCTCACTCACCTCCCCTCCTCCCCGTGTGCCCTGCCTTCTTCACCGGGGCTGGAGCGGAGGACCTTGGGGAAGCCGAGGCAGGTGGGCCCAGGCCGGGGACAGGCTCCTCCTGGGGCCCCTTCCTCCCCAAAGCAGCCACGGGACCGCCCAGGAAAGAGCAGCGCCCCCTCCGGGGCAGGAATGGGCTTTAGAACTGGACAGCAGCCCACGAAGGCAGCGAGAGCAACGCCGTTGCTACAGAACTAAGCCGACAACCGTGTGTCCAGGACGCGCGGATGCGCTGGGCGGCTGGGAACCAGCCCTGCCACGGTGTCATGAGGCAGCCACCCGATGTCCTGCTCCTTCAAAGGGTGACGGTGGGCGCTCAGCCTGGCGCGGCCGTGAAGAGCAGCCTGCACTCGGGACTCCACGCAGCGCATAAGAACGATCGCGCTCCTCTGTCCGGGAGTGTGGCTGAAGGACAAGCTGTGGGCTACGGACTCTGCCCTGACCAGCCCCACTGCCCGGGACAGGTGCCCGGAGGTGGCTCTTGGAGCTGGTGGCTGCCGCCCACTGCCCACCGCCCAGCCACCGTGTCCACCGCACCCGGGAGCCCGGGGCCTCATCCTGCCCTCAGACCCCAGTGGCCTCGGGGGCACTGGGCCTCAGCCTGCCACAACGTCACCACCGCTGCCGGCACCACCACCTACAGGGCCCTAATTTGGCAAACCAAGGCCAAACCATGAGCAGATTCTGAGAGACCCTCCAAGCCGGGCAGGTATGAAGCACCTCCCTCCAGTGCAGCCACCAGCTAAGAGTTGAAAGCAGCAGGTCCCGGGCACCGCGGGTGACTTTGCTGTGATGCCTGCCCCGCCCACTCTCGC